CACTCTTTCAGCAAAAAAAGACCAAATGGCAAGTAGGACACGTAGCTACTTCTCTCACCTTCCTCCTCCTCAGTCAAGTACTTAGATGTACTTTGACCAGATGTCTGATATGTATATACAGTAAAGAAGAATTTTGTCAAATGTAAAATAAATTAATTTAAATACTCAGGAGGCATTGCTGATTGTCAGGCAATCAATTCATGGTTTTGCATAATCACTACATCATTGTTTTGATGTGCATATCTGTATGTGCACGCAGACAGAATGAAAGAGCAAGAGACGAAATTTTCTGTGTTGTGCCTCAGGAGAATTTTCAAGCAATTTGCCAGCTTTGGTTTCTCATTATATACTGCTAGCATAAAAAAAAAAAAAAAAAAGGACACTTTTAAAAGACAAGGAAAAATATCTACACAAAAGGAAAACAGAGTTTCTAAATGTTGAAAAGTATCAGTGATGAAAAAATACTGATTCATTCCTATAATTTTCCTCCACAGGTCAGTGGAATTCTTCATTATTTTCTTCATGCTGGCTGTTTGCTCTAGAGGAATATAGTTCCTACACTTCACATGTGCAAAGCTACAGCTTTCTGGAAAAAAAGGTCTTGCTGACCTAGGAGGACAGGAAAGAAGAGAAGGGAAAAGGATGGGAAAACAATAAAAATTGCCTAGAGAAAAAGCAAAGTAAAGCAGTGTGGCACATTGTTTTGTTTTTATTCTGTTTTGGCTTTACTTATTATGTTTATTTATTTATTTAGTATTGTAAACTTCTTTTACCAGATTCACAGATCATTTGGCCTTTAATATTTCTCCCACTCCCCAGAAAAGCAATATAGAAGTGTTTCCTGTTAACAAGACACTTACATTTTGTGGTTCTCCATTACTCAGTTCATTTCATTCAGGATGCAATTACCTTGCAAATGGAGTTATTGCACTTCTTGAAAACTTAAGGGAAAACATCTAAGTCCTGGACTGTGAGTGGCTTGTAAGGACTACTTCCACAGCTTTTGCTTTAGCTTCTTGACTTTCTAGTCTCATTTCACCACCAGTGGAGAGAAAGTCTCTTCCACAAGACAGATCAGAGTAGCCAATTCGGGCTTCTGCTCAGCACCACAGTTAAAGGCGATCACTTCTTTCTTTCCACTTCATAGACAGCCCAAGGAAGTCAGCCTCAGAACAGAAATGATGGCTTTAAAGAATATCCCTGGCCCCTTAAAAATACTAAATTGAACTTTGTACTGATGTCCCACAGGAATCACAATTTAAACTTTGTTTTGAGGCCCCTTTTTTAAATGCCAGTTGGTCCCCTTGAGCCTACATGCTCTTCACCACTCAGCACGTCAGATAATAAAACATAAATCCTCAACAGATTTAGATTAAAAACTTCCATGCTTTGGAAGTCAACAAGTATTCCAACCATCCATGTAACTCAGAAAATGCCAAAACAGATGGGTGCAGACAAGCCCATATGCTGCATGCTCACACACAGGGGCAGTGAGTTAAGGAGTTAAGGACTTTGATAACAATACAAGCTTAAGGAGCCTGTGCTCTGCCTCCTTGCTGGCATTCACTCCACCTTCATACGACAATGACTGCCTAGTCAACAATGCTGAAAAATGCAAGAAAAGAAAAGGAAGGGGATGGGAAAAAAAAAAAAAAAAAAGAGAGGTGAAGTGTGTGTTGAAACCGTATCATGTTGCTGATCCAGTCTCCAGCATTGCTACAGAAACAGTTGTCAGCCCAAGTGACAGGGTAGGGCTGTGAAGTGTGGGAGCAAGTATGCAGGACAACGGGGCACAGGGACTCTTTAAACATCTACTGGTGCCAGAGGTCCCACACTGTGAAACTATACCCAGTCAGATGTGCTACTGCATTGCTGCATCAGCACAGCACTGTATCTTTGACAACAAATTTAGCAGAGGGGGTGTGGTTAACTTAACAGGCCACTAAGCATGCCTGGGCCAGAGGTGGCTTTGTGTTCAGCCTGTTCGGAGTAGGAGTGGAAGGCACGTGAATCTATCTGTGTCTGCCCACATGGAGGTAACCTAATGTTTGTTAGGAGCCATACTTGACATAGCACAATGTCTTACAATGACAGGTTCCTCTCTGCATCTCAGCTATGACAGTACCAGTGGATTTTTCTCCTGTCCTTCCACCCAATAATTTAAAACTTCTTTTTTTTTAAATGCAAATGAATAAATTTTTGCTTCTAATCCCTCCATTATGCAGATTGAAAATTCCAGAAACAGGCAATAAAAGACTGCAGCACAGCCAAGAACCTCACCCTAATCTCCTGATTTACTAACCATGGCCTGCTGTTACATACATAAAGAAATACTGAGTGCATAGACAGATATCACTTTGCAGCAGCTGATTGAGAAGCTGGAAGAAGTTACTGCCTTTTGCTTTCCTCTTGCCTCCCTCCCACAAGGAATTGCCTGTTATCACTGAACATCTGAGCTTATGCTGCCAAGGGAAACAGCAGGGCTGTTTTAAATGGTTTTAATGGCTGAGGTGAGCTATCCCAGATCCTTTGCCTTCCGGTGATATAGAAAGCGCTCAAGCACTGCTCCCCAGTCTGAGCACCCAGGCAGTAATAAGCAGTGATAAACAGGGCAAAATGAGGGAAATGGATGTGCAAAGGGCTGGTCTGCTCCTTCCAGGAGCAGATCTGAGATTATGTGTCTTGGGTGAAATACTCCAGCCTTGCTTGAAGAACCTAGGTGTGAAAACATTAGTACATTGTGCAAACTATGATCAGAAAGAACTACCACTCTGTCCCACCACAAGACCCTGCTTTTGCTACACTCTCATCTTTGGTCAGGAAGCCTCAGAGTCCCAGCATGACATGACAGAAACTACCATTCTTTTGCTCCACACTCAGTACTCTTGGTATTTCTGCACTAGCTAACAAATAGGCTTCTGTATTCTTAGTCGTTTATTTTCCACACATAAAATGTCTCTCCAGTACCCTCTGCTGTCTGTTCAATGCCACGTTACTCTCAGAATAACCTGAACTGCAGAGGTTTACTGTAGTGGCATATTTTTCTATCCCATTTCATTTCCCTGAGCAAAGGGTCCAACTGTCCCTGACTGCCTGTACAATTGATGGAGGGAGCCACGCACCTCTGAAATGCAATAGAGCTCTTCTGAGATCTGAAGGGATTTTGGCAATTACTCGTTTCTTCCCACTAATGATACATTCCCCAGGAAAGGTTTATCTTATGTTCCTAAAGACAGATGGATTTGGACTTGGCACACTCAGTTCAGTCTCGAATAACAGGTGAGTTCAAACAAATGCTCTGCCCAGAGAACACACATTTCTTAGGATTTTGGAGTTCTAGGTCTAGAAACTGAATACATTTGGTAAATGATAGCCCAAGTGGGCTAGGTAAAACCATTATGGAGTCAAGGAATGCTGATAGATCTCTCCATTAGTTCCACAGATGCCCCTGTCCCACCTAATGAAACTTTCTGCTCCAGCCACAGTTACAGCAAACTCCCTGATACCAAGTTTGGGAAGCCAGAATGAGGACATACATAAATAAGCCTGCAGAAATCAGAAAACAGGAAGAGAAGGCTCAGAAATAAATTTTTAAAGGCTTAGCAATGTGAACAGAATATAGCTAGTGCTTCTCATCATGATACTGGGGTTGTACAGCCAGAGTTCTAAGGACATGTTAGAGGCTGCTCCCAGAATTGACAGCACATGATTGAGGCTATGTAATCAGAAGTAGCTGGATATCATGCTGCCCATATAATTTATTTGTATGGTAATGGTTATGCAAAGCACTATGCAAATATCTCCATGGAGCAGACCTTTGCCATTTTTAAGCAATTAATTGAATGTCATAGGAGGCATAGGTGGACCTGCAGTGAGAGCTTGCCTTCTTTTGCTCAGAGGTTACACTTGTGAGCATCTAGCTAGCCAACTGCATGTTTTTATTTAACTACCTGAACAACAGAACAATAAAAAAGTAATAACTTTAGTAAATAACATCTTGCCCCACTTTCTTCATATGTTCAGTCTCTCCCCAGCTACCACAATTTCTTTTGATCACTCCCTTAACCCTACATTTGAATCATAGTAACACAGCTGCCATCCACAGTCAGTCTCATAATAAAATGGGAGTAGGTCCCAGCAATCTGGTAGTGATGTCAGCCTTTGTCTTGTGTGAATAATATCTTCTAAACATTAAAAAAAACATCCCAGATGGGATACAGCACACCCTAGAATCCAACCTGGTTTCTAAAGGAGTTTCTTATTTTTAATAATGTATAGGGGAAAAGTAATGCTCTGAAAGAAGAAATAATTATCTGAACACCCACTAAAACACAGACAGTTCAATTCAACCTTGGAGATAGACTTATCTTAGACCCCATTTATATCCCTGATGTCCACAAATTTCCACCTCTCATCATTTCACAGATATTGGTCAGCAGTCAATATTAAGGGATTTTTCAGACACCCATATACAAAGAACAGTCTGTGCAATTTGGCCAAGGGTCTCGCTCAGACTTTTTGTAATGTGAATACCTAAGATCCAAGCATGATGCTTTGTCAAGCTGTACCACATACCTTCTGCACCAATTGACACAAGTTTCACTCCTTTGCTGGCGATATAATCCAGAGCTTTGTTGACATTAGCAATTTTATGGAAGCGCATCTTCCCTCTGTCTGGTTTTGGTAGTCTTTCCCCTGAAGATAAACAAATGTAATGTGTTTATTTTTACATGCATACAGCTACAGACTCCCAAGAAATCAGAACTCAAGAGTGAATGTGCCCTGAGTACTGTCTAAAAGTTAGCAGATATTTTAACAGGTATTTTCTGAAATAATGTCAAACAGCTTCGAAGAAAACCCCGAAGAGAAAATTCAAATGTCGAAATATCTGACTTAGATCCTTCTGAGATAGCAGCAAAAACAAAGTACATTTTTTCTATATGCCTCAAACATGTTTGGAAGACATGTGAGTGCTTCCTGCTACTCAACTTCTGGTTTATTGCTCCTCTCTGTGTTAGGATATCTGAGTATTAAGAAGCCAGGATGTTTTCAGAGCTCATCACCCTTACCTGCCTGACTGTAAAGAAAGACTGGACTCTATCCAGCAGATTAGCCACAGCATCCTGCCACATCTGTCCAAGAACAATGGCTTTTAACAATCTCATCCAGTACAGCAGAGCACCTAACTTCTGGGCACAGGGTGGTGTGTTTGGAAGAACTTCTTCTCAAATTATCATAAAGAGTAATTTCTGATAATATGACTCTCCATGATGAGTGATCATTTAAAGATCTTTCCCCATTGCAATCTCCAGCAAAAATGTCTTTTCCGTAAAGATGACTTAAAAACCTTCTTGCCCTTTTTCACCTTTATCCTTCTTGCCCTTTTTCACCTTTATTGTGTGTATATGACTTGAGCTATTCCCTTCCCATTAAGGGGCATTATGAGTGTACCTTGAGGACTGCCCCTCCGGACAACATGTAACATGAGTGATGGAGAGAGTTAGTTGTATCAGTTAGTCAAAAGAAGTTCTTGGATGTTCCACCCTTCTGATGCCAATGATACCCTGATACACTATGATATCCCAGAACACAAACAAACCAGAAGATTTTAGAGATAAGGAAAAAGCAGAGCTTTTTTCCCCTCCTTTTTGTTTCACATTGTGTTTCGTTTCTCAGTATTCAGCCTACTTAGAGTATGTGTTCACTGCTTTGAATTGTTAACACTTTTGGGTCTTTTAAAATGTTTCAGTTAGCATGCTGTAAATATATAGCAAAATTTATTTTAACCAACCTGAGATAACTTCCAAGAGGAGCATCAGTTTAAGGCCATTTCTGAAATCCTCCTCAATGTTCTCAATCTGCGTGCCTGCTTTCCTGAGGTGGGAATTGCACCAGGCTGTAAATGTCTGTAATATTATATTAAAAAACAAAAACAAAACAAAAAACTTGTCAACAAGGTATTTTCCAAAACAAATGCTAAGCCACCTGAATAAACACTGCGTTTGATATTTTCAGTACTGCCTTGGCAATTTGGATGTCCAACTCCTATTCATTTTATATATGCCACTGAGTTCAATACTCTTATCCTAGATGTTCATAAAAGACTTTCCTGATTAGAAGCAATTTTGTGCTAGATTCTGCTTATAAATGCATCCCAAAAGAAAGATCTACACTTAAAGGCAATATTTGTCTAATAGTTATTACTAAACATAACATTTTACAAGCATATACTTTTTTGTTGAGACTTATCTGTTATACAGTTCTTATACAGATGCCAGGGACAAGTAACACACATTTCTCACAGGCAGGAAGTTGTGAGAACACTCTTCAGGATGAAGCAACTGAAGAGAGATTTATGCAGCAAGGATACCAGCATAATTTTATCTGCTCGTATTTGCAGCTACAGTGAAAAGCAGAATGCCTTCTGAAAACATGGACAACTAAAATGGATTTTGAAAGTTTACAATAATTCAAGCACAGAAGTTTCACAATCAGACCTTGCAGATATGGCCTGCCTTACCAAGAGATTTATTTTTAAACTGTATTGTATATTTTTCAGAAAACTACCATAATTTCATGATACACACAAATGCAGATACTTCAGTTTGCAGGGCAAAAATGGTCACAGAAGCATTCATGAGCATTTCTGTCACTGTGGAGAGTAACAAAGTCTGGTTTTACTTACAGAGATAAAAAGCACACTTAGTTCCACTGATGTACAGAAGTCATATACACATTACCTTTATACAAATAGACTACTACAAAATATAGCAGTTAAAATTAGACTGTTTTCAAATATCCATCACATCTCAGCATTCTGACAAATTCTCTTTGCTTTTCAGTGTCTGTTAATATACATAAACACAAACATATATAAAGCAAGTCTGTATTAACTAGGTATTGCTCCAGGTGTTTAACTCTAGGTATGTAACAAAGCCATATATTTTGTTAAGTTCAGCTTCAGCTACCTAAAGTTGTCAGATATTTTTAATTCCCCTTCTATTTCTCTTTTGAACTACTATAGTTCTAAAAACATTGTAAATCATAGAATCATCAAGTGGTTGGAGTTGAAAGAGACCTTAAAGATCAGCTATTTCCAACCCCCCTGCATGGGCGACTACACCTCTCACTAGACCAGGTTGCTCAGAGCCCCATCCAACTTGGTGCACTCAATGCCACTGTTCATGTCATCGACAAAGATGTTAAATAGCACCAGTCCCAGTACCAATCCTTGAAGAACACCACTTGCCACTGATCTCCACTTGGACATAGAGCTCTTTATCACAACTCTTTAAATGTGACTATCCAGACAATTCTTTATTCACTGATTGGTCCATCAAGTCCATGTGTCTCCAATTTACAGACAAGGATGTTGTACAGGACAGTGTCAATTGCTTTTCATTTAAAATATTAAAAACATTTTAAAACTAAATACATCCTAAATCCCCATTGTTGGTATTAAATTTCCTTTGACCTTCTTTTTTCATGCCTGATTGTTTTAGACTATTTAATTTCTGATCTGTCAGAAACGCCTGAATCCCATAAATTCTAGGCAGAAGATAAATATTGAATTTTCAAAAGTGGTCTATTCTTAAGTAGGCAACCTTATTCTAAAGAATAACATTTTGGCGGTTCTTGGGTTTCACACAACTTTTGAGAAGAATTTATGTGCAGCTTGCTAGGTTCTTTTCTCAGAGCTCCTGCAGGGACAAGGAGTAGCTTGTTAAACTTTTGTTTTATAGACTTCTCATTTCCAACTGAAAGGAAAAAAGCAAGAAGTGCTATGGATATGGAGGAACTGTGTAGAGAAATCCCTAATTCTAGATACCCACAGAAAGGAGGAGAGAGAATACAGTATTGGAAGTGGTTCTGGGTTGGGGTCCTGTTGACCTGCAGAGGATGAGTTGCAGGTAGAGGCACAGGAAAGTAATTCTGTGTGCAGATGGAGATAAGCATGGCTGCAGCTAAAGCATCTCTGCAAATACATCTATTTTAATAAAGCAATGCCAGCTTGAAATGCAGTCATTCAGGAAGGTAAAACTTTCCTCATTTTATGATAAGTAGCTTTACTAAGCTCATGGGAGACCTGAAACCAGACTGTATCAAGCATCACAACAGAGATACTAGGTACCTCTACCCTGAGGGCTCGATATGATGGAGTCTTAGGATGGTATTTGGTTTTGATCATTATAGAGTTTGGATCTAGTTTGTAAGACTAATTTGTTTAGTGCTTCCTCAAGCAGCATTTTATTTTAGTGATACATATCTAAAAAGGCTTAGCACCACCTTAAGTCATTTTCAAATACTAAAGATTATAACAAGCATCCTTGGGAGGAACAATATTATGGCAATACAGAAAAAACAGTTGAAAGCACTCAAGGATAAATGCACAGGAACCTTGCATGGCTGTTTGGCAATACATATTAGAAAGATGAACCCATAAATGAATGAGAATTTAATTAATTAAACTTGAATGATGGACATGTGCTTATCTATAGATGGTATTGTAGTTTGCAGAATGTTCCAAGCACACCATGCTAAACTCAAACCTCAGCTATCTCTTCTGTTAGACATTTATGGTGAATGTTTTGACCATGTTAACTCGATTTTTCCCCATTTTTCATTTAAATAAGACTTTGATGGCAAGCACTCTTCAAGTACACTCTTTAAGTGATTCCTACTCTCTTCTCAGTCACAATAATTTTAGGAAGACAGTAAGCAAATGTTGCTATGATATAAACAAAAGAAGGATGCTTCTACTGCTCAGACAAGGTGTTTTCAATGGTTTGATAACAGTCACTGGTTTTATGGGCTACATTTTTATTTCTGTAGGTTATTTAAGATTCTTCCCAGTAGTCCTGGGGTTTGGACATTGGGGTTTGGAGCAATCTGAAGGATAAAGTTGGAATTACCTACAAAGTCTCCATTCCTAAGATGGAAAGTTCTGCTGAAGCACTCTACTATGCATGGATTCTTCATATAGACTATCTGTATCTAACCAGTTTAGCTTATCTTCTGTATCTAGAATAAGAAATTCAGGGGTTTTTTAAAATCTAAACTAACGTTTCTCAGAGCCTTCTGTTTTACCACTGCACCAGGCATGAAATGGTGTTATCCACTTATGACAGTTGTCTTGTGCCCCATGGAAACCATGGTTGACCAATCTGATAGCCTTCTACAATGGCACAACTGATTGGATAGATGAGGGGAGGGCAGGGGATGTGGTCTATCTTGATTTCAGCAAGGCTTTCAACACCATCTCACACGGCATCCTCACAGCCAAACTCAAGAAGTGTGGATTGAATGATAGGGAAGTGAGGTGGATTGGGAATTGGCTTAAGGACCGTGTTCAGAGACTTGTGCTAAGTGGGGCTGAGTCTAGTTGGAGACACATGTCTAGAGGTTGCGGAGCCTCCTTCTCTGGAAACATTCAAAACCTGGACATGTTCCTGTGACACACTGCACGCGATCCTGGTCTAGCAGGAGGGTTGGACTAGATGATCTTCAGAGGTCCCTTCCAACCCTTTCCACTCTGTGGAAAGTGTCACTGCAGTACATTACAGCAGACTCTTGACATGTGGTTTCATAGACTGGTGCTGTTCAAACTGGCTTATTTTCCTAGGTCTAAACATGGTTGTAGGAATGCTACTCAAGAAAGTATTTACTGTGTTTCAGTGATGCAATGCATAAGTGCCTGTATTAAAGCTACTGCAAAAGTTGCAAATTTTAACAGTTTCCACAATCCACATTTTATTTAACCCTCATCCTTCTATTCTTATTGTGATACCACTTGTTCTCACTGCTTTGGCTTTAACTAACTGTTCTATTCATAGTTATTAAGAAACAATTCCAAGCACGTTTAAGTCCTGGAGATCAAGATAGAGCCAGCATATAGTACCCTGCAAATTTGTAATCCACTGGGATTTAAAAGCTATTAAATGACTTAGACAAAGCAAATTCCTTTTTCTGCTGAGCTGTACAGCACATTTCAGAGTATCAAATTCCCCAGAGAAACAAGGCAGGATTGAAGGCACCAAGCTGAATACCAGGAAGGATACAAATAACTGCTTAGAAACCTAGACATTTCTTTTTAGAATGTATTTACCATAGGTGGCTCTATAAATTGAAAAATAAAATAAAATAAAATAAAATAAAATAAAATAAAATAAAATAAAATAAAATAAATAAAATAAAATTTCCTTACCAAAGTTGTTATTACAAAAGAAACTTTGCTGACATTCTTAGATGAGAGACCAGAGAAGAGAGGATGCAGGGCAGGGAGCCAAGCAGTTTGCAGTCGCACAGGTAATTATTCTCTTAATGCACTATGAATTGTCTAGTGCTGTCATAGGTCTATTTTGAGAAAGCTGACTCCAGAAAAGGTAGTGCAATTTATGTTCTATGCCCACTTAGCCTCATTGTGAAGAATGCCAACAGTGTATCCTCCATAATATAGATTCATAGATGTGTGATGGCAAAGTGTGTACCTAAGGAAAAAACAAACCTTACCTGGTAATTTACTTGGGTCACTTAATTTTACAAGCCCTTGACAAGTAGAATTGCGACCAAGAGGCAGAAAAAGGAGATATCCCATATGAATCAACTATAGCTAATGCCAAAAAAATAATAGGGTATTCCCACTCTGTGCAAATATAATTGCACATATGCACAATAAAGGACACACTTTGATGGGAAAAGTTGTATCTCTGAAAACTGAATTGCCTTACATCCCTAAGAAAGCCCACAGGTCTTTTTTATGTGAGTGCAACAATAACTTTTGACAGTGCTTCAAAGCCAGAAAACATAATGCTATAATAACAAGTTTCATATGTGCATGTGATAATAGGAATAAACAGAATTGAGAAAGTACCAGTTACCACCCTCTGTTACCCATCTGTGGCTCACA